AGGCTATTCAAGAATTCTTCAGATCTGGAAAGATGTTGGGCATGATAAATTCTACCTCAATTACTTTGATCCCTAAAATTCAATGCCCTAAAACTCCATCTGATTACAGACCAATATCTTGCTACAACTGTATATACAAAATTATCTCAAAGATTTTGGCTAACAGGGTTAAAACTGTTATGGGTCACTTGGTAAATGATGCTCAGAGTGCCTTTGTAAAAGGTAGGCAAATATCTAGCAATATTCTGCTTGCACATGAGTTGATTAAAAACTATGGGAGGAAGCATATTTCACCTAGAGTAATGCTCAACATTGATATAAGGAAAGCTTTTGACACACTCAGCTGGGAATTTCTGGAGGATATGTTGTAGGGCCTAGGCTTTCCTAGTAAGATGACAAAATGGATAATGGCTTGTATCTCTACTCCAAGGTTTTCAATTTCCTTAAATGGTTCCCTCCATGGCTATTTCAAAGGGGAGAGAGGGCTGAGGCAAGGTGACCCTTTATCACCTTATCTTTTCATCTTAGGGATGGAATACCTATCTAGGAGATTGGATAAGTTGAAGAATGAAAAGAATTTCAAGTACCATCCTAGATGTGGGAGGTTAAAAATCACTCATCTTGCATTTGCGGATGACCTTCTTTTATTTGCAAAAGGTGATATCCTCTCAGTACAAAATTTAAATCAATGCTTGAGAGATTTCAGTGCAGCCACAGGCCTTGAAGCTAATCCTGAAAAGAGTTCGATATTCTATGGATGTGTATCTGATACTGTCAAAGTGTCAATTGGAGACTGTCTGGGGTTTAAAGAAGGGGTATGGCCAATCAAATACCTTAGAGTTCCTTTGTTACACAAAAGACTATCCTATGTAGATTGCCTCCCTCTCCTTAATAAGATTTCTGGTCAATTTCAGAACTGGATGAAGTGCAAGACTTTATCATATGCTGGAAGAATTCAGGTGATAAAAAGTGTTATACTTGGAGTTCAAATCTATTGGACTTCAAGTTATATTTTGCCTATGAAGGTCCTTCATAAAATTGATGAACTCTGCAGAAATTATTTGTGGGGGAAAAAAGATCAATCTCTCAAAATGGCACTTGTCTCATGGGACAAAATCTGCTTATCCAAAGATCAAGGTGGCCTGGGTATCTTCTCTGCAGTAATTTGGAATAGAGCCTCAGCTTTGAGGAATTTATGGTATATACATGTCAACAAAGAGCTGCTGTGGATTAGATGGATTCATGGGAACTATTTAAAAGACAAAAGTATTTGGCAAGTGCAAGCAAAGAATGGGGATTCATGGACATGGAAACAAATGTTGAAGGCTAGAGACAGTTCATTGATTCACTGTGGAGGGGAAGCTAACCTAAGCCACCTCATCGCTTCATGCTGTAAAAACACCAAAGTTAAGCTCTCTTCCCTGTATAGGATTCTTTCCCCCAATATTAGCAAGGTGCAATGGCGGAATACTGTTTGGGGGATATGAACTATCCAAAACATTCTCTTATTTGTTGGCTTGCTATCCAAGATAGGTTGCTAACAAAGGATAGACTGATGAGGAGAGGTATTGTGACAGAAAACAACTGCAGCTTGTGTTCAAGGCCAGGTCTGGAAAGCAGGAACCACTTATTCTTTAGCTGTCCTTTTTCGAGTGAAGTTTGGAATCAGGTGATGTATTGGTTGCAGTTTAAATGGAAGTCTTGCAGCTGGAGTTGTCTTCTAAACTGGTTCAGTACAAAGCTTAGAGGCAAAGGGATTAAAACGAAAGTGAAGAGGCTGGCTTTTACTACTACACTGTACAAAATCTGGTGTGAACGCAACAATAGGATTTTCACGCAACAATGCAAAAACAAAGATCAGTTGGTGAAGGAAATCAAGTTGGATATACTAATCATTGTTCTCAACAGCTCCTTGCCGGAAGATTTCAAAGAATGGATTAGTTCTCTGTAAATATGTAGATGGATGAACTTCTTTGATATTTTGTAATTTGATATCTCACATAGGAGGATCTTGATGTACTTAAACTCATTACTTTGGTGAATGAATAAAATTTTTTCATTGACCAAAAAAAGTTGAAGGAGGTGGCACCTAAAGGACGCGGGCAGCAGAAGCCACAATTTTACGGTGATCTCCTCTAGCAAATGCACTAGCTAAGTATAGCCTGAAATAAACATAACGAAACTTGAGATGTAACAAAACGAATAGGTAATGTACTCATGTACTGAAAAATAGGAAGCACAACCTCAAAATGTCACACAAGAGATATTCCACATTATCAATTATACTTTCAGGAAAATACACGAACTGTTAGTTCATCAGAGTTTGATAATGTTCTCTTATAAGTGTTTATTGGTTGCTTTCATATTCCTGGAAAAAAATTATATTAATGGGAAAGAAAATAGAAATTACCTGTCTAAGAAAATAAACCTCCTGGATTATTTTTGGACTCTTTTAACCTTGGTGTAATTTTTTGACAGATATGCCCATGGTTGAAATTAGTGAGTGTGAGGGTAATGGAGCAAGAAAAAGTTAACCCAGGGAGTCTATACGCAACTATCGAACTACAGGGAATCTATGTGAAGTTAACCCTACCAAAATGGCAATATGAAAGTACATTGCACAAATTCGAAATCCTACCACATCTAAGAAACTGGCTTAGGTTGAGAGCTTTGATGCTAGGTGGGACGACATCAATCTGTTTTACTAATCGGCAGAAGAGTATCAATGTTATAAGGTACCTGCAAAATTACAAATCAGGTGACGCACATGAACCAAATAACAAAACTTTTAAGGCAACATGAACTTCTGATACCAAATATGATAGTGAACAAAAAAGTTAGAACTTACTGAGAAACTACTTGCGCTACGGCAGCACCGGTGACACCCATACGAAGAGAAAATATCAGAATTGGATCCAAAATGATGTTGGTTACATCTCACTAGTAGAAAAATACGTATTCTAGACGGAATATTCTAGACGGAATTTTTTCCGTCTAGAATGTATTAAACTAGACGGAAAATCATGAAAAATCATTTTATTTTAAAAAGTTTAATTTTTGGAATAAGTGAATACGAGATCCTAGATTATAAAATCATAACTATCAAATTATATTTGTTTTAATATAATATGGATTTTTTGACTTAAATAATAAGGAATCACCAGTAGAAAAACACGTATTCTAGACGGAATATTCTAGACGGAATTTTTTCCGTCTAGAATGTATTAAACTAGACGGAAAATTTCCGTCTAGAATATTCCGTCTAGAATAAAACATTCTAGACGGAAATTTCCGTCTAGAATAGTATACTAGACGGTTTTTTTTATTTTTTTTTATTTTTTTAAATGTCCAGGTATCCTAGACGGAAATTTCCGTCTAGGATACATGCTAGACGGAAATTTCCGTCTAGGGACATTTTAAAAAAAATTCAACCCATGAAACCCCAGCCGCCCATCTTTCCCCCAAAAAAAACGAAATTTTGGAAGGGGCGGGGCATCGCGGCCGGGCAGGGGAACAGCTGCGGGTTCGGGATGAGGGGGCAGAAGTCGAGGTCGGGGCCCGGCGTCCGCAAGGGGTTCGAGGGTGGCCAGATGCCCCTATACCGCCGGCTTCCCAAGCTCCGGGGATCGCTGGAGGTAATTAATTAACTAACTGGCTAACTATGAAGAGTGAGAAGAGTTTATATTTTTTGTATTTTGGGTGATTTTTTTTGCCTCTTGTTAACTCTTTATATTACTATGAAGTAAGAGCCTTTAGGTTCTCACCCATGCCTGTGACGCTTCGACCTGGCTCTGTATGCTCAACTAATCAGCCGCAGAATAATGCAGATGTAAGCGCAGCATTCAATTTCGATTATGTTTCCTATCCTGAATGGAGGCAATGGAGGAATTGACTCAGATCTCTCTGTCAATGATGCAGGCCGCAGCTCTCCTCGCCGATGAGGTCATCAGCAACGAGCAGCAAAGCCTCTATTTCGGCTCCTCCGGAAGCCAAACCAGCAGATAAAGTGAGTGAAAGTTATGCTTTTCTCATTAAGTTTCTCTCAATCTGCTTGATTTTTTTGTATTATTGGACTATGTTAGTGTTGGATTCTTTTGGTTTCCAGGTTGTAGCTTGCTGATTGCTGTATAATATAGGTGCTAGTGCTAGTAGTATCAGGACACACTTCTGTTGTTGTTGTAGATCAGGATGTACCTCTAATTCATGTTTCATTGTGATATGATGTATGTTTGAGGAATTAACCCATATAGATTTGATACTGTTCGATCGTTTTGAGATGGGTATGGCCTTGCTTTTCCCAAAATATTGCGTTCATTTTAACTTCATTATTTGGGGTCAATCATGGTGCATATGGAGGAATTAAGCTGTGTCTCCTTTTTGTATGTTGTGCTTCATGCTTGAGTTTTTGTCTCTTTTTTCTCACATATATTTATTAAAAAATGGGACTGTTTATAATTAAATGACTAACTATATTTATTAATAAATCCTATTTTGCCACACATCTTCACATTTGCACTTCAACAATAATTTGTTTTCTCAAACAAGGATTGTATTTTACTTGCACATAGACGTGGATGTGAAAATCATTTGTAAAAATATAACTTTCACACTTTCAATTTGCCAAACACTCCCTTCGGCAGGTTGTTCTATTTGTAAGCTCCTACTGAAGAGTTGACATAAAAATTTGTACTGATACACGCATCCTAACTTTGTGTCCCCATTTGACCTGGTATATTTGATACTGTCAGGGGTCATGTGCTTGTGAGTGGATATGTGAATGCATGCACAAATCCATATTTCCATTTATAAATCGCTGCATGCCCTTTTGAACATTGAGGTAAGAGCATGAAACCCTATATATATTTTTGTATGTTGTGCTTCATGCTTGAGTTTTTGTCTCCTTTTCCTCCGATGTAAAATTGAGTTCATGCTGATAATTGGTTGGAAACAGGGGGGCAAACAGGGAAAACTGTAGCAATT